ACTCTGCAGAACTGACTGGTTATGATACGTACAGTTAGCAGCTACCTGCTGCATAACGCTCCCAAATCTCACAATGTTTTGTCAGCACTTGCTGTGTCCAGTCCCACTTCAAAGCCATCCCCGTGCTTTCAGAATGGGCTTCCAGAATAAGAGCTCTCTCTAATTACTATGTGTTTCCACTAGGTTTTTAATCATTAGCATTAAGGGACTGAACATAACCCACTGAGATACTGTAGTGTAAACACGAGCAATGATTATTCCAACCTCTTTACTGGTTCCAGGTAACGATCACAGTATATATTTCAAGCTCTTGTGTGGTTTAGGATGGTCGGTTTTCAAATCACGTTATCCTGCATGTTTCTGGTTAAGGCCAGCTAAAGGCTAAGGTCTGTCAAGGGGGATAAACATGTTTAAAAATTATTTTAAAGGCTTTCAGTTATTTAAAGTCAAGGCCCATGACCTGTTAAGAATCAGCAAAGATGAAGACATCTGCCTTATGCTATTCCCAAGTAAACATATGCTGCAGAACTACAAGACAATTTAAAGTTGGAACTTCACTTTAATTTATGGTAGCTGTGCAACTGGCATTGCTCAGCATAGAGATGGACATGTTAGTTTTAATCCTGTTAATACAAGTTTTAGAAGCACTCTACACGTGGCAGTCCGGTACTCACAGAAGTACTGATATTTGCCCTAGTTTTTGAAAAATGAATGGGAGACCTTGTCAGGAAGGCATGAGTTTGAAAGGGCCCATGTAACACAGCCTTCATTATAGTTTTAAACCCTATCTCCCATAAGGAAAGTAGAAGGGGGTACAGTTTTTTCCATGTAATAACTTTGTAGTTACTGGACTCTCTCTGGTCACTCAGCTCACACTGTGAGGCTGCATGCAGACAGATATCAATCGCTCATTGCTCCTCCAACTCGTCTGCATGTCTGACTGCCATCACAGCAGAGCACGCAGGCACTCAGCACATGCAAGATTTCTCCTTCTAGGATTGTCCCAGATTTGAACATTTCAAATGTGACTCGTCTGCCATGTAACAGGGTCTACAGCATGACACATCCTGAAAATAAGCTTGGGTGCTTAAGCGTACAAAAAGGCCACCGAGTGATTTCTGATGTACATTTATTTCATGCCCCATAAGTATGTAATTTAAGCTTGTTGTTTAGCTACTCTTCCTTGAAAGTTGAAGTAACAGAGAAGACATCCCATTTGCCACAGACTAAAGCCATAAATGCTTGATTTGGTGCGATTTTTCCTGAACAAAGATGTTCAAATTGCATTCATCGGGGTATGTTTGGCTTGGGGTATTCTTGTTACTTACTGTCCTGTTTGTGTTTAAAAAACAATTTGTCCTTATTTTCAGTGAAACACCAGCAATGGAAAGTTTTGGTTGACACGGTTTTAAACCCTAGCTTGTATTTTCAGTTTGTTTAATTATTTTTCTTGGTAAAACACAAAGGAACTAACTGGCCACTAGAAAGTATGCCCTTGCACCAAACCTGCTCTGGTCTATGCTTGGCTGAAGTTCCTGGGGGACCCTGTGACACGATTTTTCTGTGCCACCATTCTCTGTTTGTGGAGGAGATAGGAATTGCAGTCTCCAAATAAGTGGATTCTCATCAGAAATAAATGACAGCTCAGCAGAATGAAGTTTACTGCAGAAATATATTGGCTTAGAATAATTATAGCTTTTATGAGACATCTTTCACCAGGTCAAGATGGAGATTTTACAAAAAATAAAAAAACAAAAATAAAAAGCCAACAAAAAAAACCAAAACACCCAATCATCACAGTAGCAATAATAATAAAAAAACAAAAGCAAACAGGCTATTTCAAGCTATACCAAGGCCTTGTTTTTTCATGAACTACCTGGCATCAACAACAGGCCAAGCTTTGATCACAACCACAAAGGTGAATTTCCATTGAGAGCATGCTAACACCACCCACCAGCCATGCCCAAGCATCTAATACGTAAATTAAAATCACCAGGCATGCACAAAAAAGGGTTGACACCCACTTCCATGGGTGTAGTCCAAGGCATGTCCCGAACTGCTGCACAGAGCTGGCAGAGGCACAGAGGGCTCCTATCAGCCCCGCTGCCCAGCAGCCATCTGTGCCCACAGGTGGGGATGCAAAGAAAGAAAGGCTCCGCCCTGTTCCCAGTGGATGGGATGAACCTCTTCCCCCAAGTGAAAAGAGCCAAGCCAGGCTCACAGCCTCCAATTCACAAGTGTTCATCTATGAAATCGGATTCCCACCCCTCTCCACTAAGAATCTGCTATTTCAACGGAGCGCAAGATGTCAGGATTTTTGCCAACATGAGCACAGCTGTCAAAATCTCATCCTTGGAAAGAATCCCAGATAGACACATGTTTTACCCCAGCCAAAATGGTCAAGCTTTGCAGAGAAACATTCGGAGAGGAAAAAGGTTCCATACTGTCATTGCAGTATCTTGGGATTGCTCACAGCCAGACAACTGGGATGCAGTGTTTTAAGAGCTGAGCCGTTAAAAGCAACAGGCATCTTGCTATTGACAGCAACAAGAACAGATTCAGTGCCTTTGGCATAAGATTATCAAAAACAGCATTACAGGAAGGGAAGCAAGCTTGTTTGGACTTGAGAGACAACAAATAAAAGAGAAAATATGCTCACAGAATCACACAGAATCACAGAATGGTTTGGGTTGGAAGGGACCTTTAAGATCATCTAGTTCCAACCCCCCAGTTTTCTTCTACAGTATGTTTTTCCAAGTGTCTTCAGCACTTTTGTCTGGCATTTCCAATGAGGGTCTGAGAAATCTCAGGTTTATGTTGCCCTTGGGTTCATGCTCTTTCAAGCCTGGGAGACCAGGCTAGACCTGCCATCAATGCCATGGGGAAGATGAAGCAGATTTCTCTCTGGATTGTCTCAGGGACCCGAGACCACTGCAGCCACACAGTCCTCATGGGCACCAACACAGGAAAAGTTAGTTGGAGCTGGTCAGTGGAAGCTGCTGAGGTTGTGGCCCCACTAGCAGAATCACACACCCCTTGTGTCTGACATGTGAGGGGCAGCTTTGGGAGGGGGAGTCCCCAGCTCAGAGTTTTGCAGCTTCCCATTATCCTTCTTGTGAAAGCATGCGGTCTAGCCTGAACTGAGCAAGATTTCCCAACCTTCTGAGCAGGCAAGCACCAACCTGTTTCTCCTATTTTGAGATTAGGACAAATAATTTGGCTCAGGTTATATGCATGGACAGGGATAAAACTAGCAGAAGTGCAGCAACTCCTTGATCCCCGCCAAAACACTGACCACTACCATTTTCCCAGCACCACAAATGATGCACATGGGACTCATGCGTGTTGCCTTTCATATTACGATCCAATTTGCGTGCAAGCAGCAGCTAGCTGCTGGGAGATGAACTTCTACAGCTCAGGGGGTTGGGGGGGAGAGGTGGCATCAGAAAAATCTTCAATCATTATCCTCTTTACTGGAAAACGTGCATCTGAATGGCCAAATTTACTAGCTGTTCCAGATCTTTATGAGATTTATAAGGCTTAAGAAAAAAATTTACTAGAAAGACATAAAACTTCAGTGGTTTGAAATGGAAATGTTTGCAAGGGACTTGGGATCAGCTGGTTTCAATTGCAGCCCTGTCTGAAGCAGGGAGGGCTTCGCTTCAGGTCTGAGGACCTCAAATGTCTCCTGACCTGACCTTCCAAAGACAGCTAGAGATTAAAGCAGCCTAGAGAGCCAATGCTCCATCATTAGGAGGAGCTGTGATACCCCAGATAAAGGAAAAGCACAACTGAGATGATGAGGAGCACATGGCAAAGACATTCACTTCTCTTTAAGCAAACTTGTCCAGTCCTGCAGAGCCAGTCCTAAGCTAGAGCTAACAATATCTGATAAATCTCCACTGCTTAAGCCCCCATCTCTGTACCCCAATCCTTGCTTTCCATCTGTCCACACAGAAAGTATTCCTGCCTCTGTTCAAGCACAGTCTCAGAATCAGCCCTCTGCCTTCACAGAAGCAACCTCAACCTCTAATCTTTGTGAAGAAATCTTATCTCCAAGCTAAATTTGACCCAATGGAAAATAGAAACTGAATTCATTTCCAAGCATAACAGGGGAGACAACAATACACTTGGAAAATGTTGTTTTTCCTGTATCAGAAGCCTGAAACCACATTACACACATCCCTTAATGAGGGTAATAAGCTTTAACTTAACAGCCTCTGAAGTGAGCTCATCATCCACTTAAAAATAATATTCCCTTCAGTACCTTGTAAGGCATGTTGGGATAGGTTGGCCAACACTTAACACCTCTGCATTTGCCAACATATGTTCCTGGCTCTGAAACAAACACAAAACATGTGAAAATTTCCAAAGGGCATCTGCAGGGTGCATGGAGAGGTGCTGTAGAGCTGCTGATGAGCTTCTTGCAGCACTCATCCTTCCTCTCATTGCAGGATGCTTAATTACAGCGGGCTGCTATGGGATTCACACCTAGCAACTCGCAACCAATCCACTGGCAATTATACTCAAGGCAAGGTAAGAAGTATGTGGGATACCTCCTGTCTCTCTCTTCTACCCACATTGCCAGACAAGGTTTTCCTTCCTTCCTTCTCCTATTTTATGTCCCACAGACCAAGCATATAGCTGCTCAGTTCGTCTAACTAGTAGACCTTTCACTGGGACTGTCTTTAATTCTGTGTAAGTGAAAATACCAAACACAGTGTCCTAACTTATAGGAAACATCTTTGACGTGAAGTGTCAGAGCCTAGAGAAGAGAGGACTGCTGCCAATACAGGGTTTTGCAGAGCAGAGCAGCTCCCCTGCCCAGCTGCCTTCATGCTGGCTCAGGCTCAGCAGGGCTGCACTGCAAGATGCATTTGTTGATACTCAGCATTGCTGTTTGAGATAGTTTTACATAATTCTGCTTAGACATCCTTTGTGTCTTGAAATGTGATTTCTGGCACACTTTGTCTAACTTGCATACTACTTACAGCACTTACTTGGGTGCAGGGTTGAGGAAATCATCTGTTTTAGACATACAACTCCATGCCTTCTCCTGATGGCATCTTCCAGAAAAGCAGTCCACAAATCGACCTCGCTCTGTATAAAGACATATGTACTTGTTATAATTAACATCAGCATCATCTTTGTTAGATCTCTTAGCAGACAAGCACGATTAAGAACATTTTCTGGCCCAGAAACCTGTTTATTCAGGTAGTTTCACTTAGTAATTAGGTTTTGAAGCACAGAATCAAACTTCTCCGTCTACCTATATTCATGAGCCACCAGCAGAAGTTAGCAACAATACAAGCTGGCTGTGCTTTGATCAAGATTTCCACAGAACTGACCAAATATGCTGCCTTAAAATCTTGAGTCCTAATTTGTGGGTTTTGACGAAAAACTGCAAATTTGGCTCTAACTTGAAATATACTGAATTGTTTTCTTCATCAGCAGCATCACTGTGAACTATTGTCTGGCAGAAAAGACAATTCTGGCTCCTACCCACCAGCCCACTGTGTGACACTAAGCTCACGGGCCGACTCCCAAGCCATGCAGCTCAGTACACGAGCTGAAGCTGCGGTCCTGCTGTAGCTTCTCCAACAAAGTAAATGAATGAGGGGAGCTTGCCAAGCCTCAGTCTCTCAAGATTCTCTATCCCCAGGACTCCCATTCCCTTGCAGAGAGAAAGTTTACTGTTACTGACATAGTATTGCAATTAGCTAAATCATCTGCAACACAGTGAACTGTTAACTGCTTTTCATTACAAACCAATCAAGGTCCCTTGTCTTCAGTGCACAACAGGGCCATCCCATGGGCTGAGAAACTGACGACCCATTTTTTTTTTAACCCTTCACTAATTTGTAAGCAGACTTTTTTCTCCCCAAACTCTTAGATAACAAAGGCCTCTCAGCTAGCAGATGGCTTGCAAACTCTTTCCACTGATTACTGACCTAAGCACCAGTTGTGACCCATGATCTGCTCTACTACTGCTCTCTGAAGTTGCCCAATGCTGAACAGCAACACAAATTCCCACCTTTTTTCCTCCAATATGGTTTTACTTATATTGTTTCCACACTTCAAAATTAAAAAGCTACTTTCTGTCAAAGGTTTTCTGCATCGTTATATTTACTTCACTATAAAGTACTGATAACCTCCCCATCCTCCAAATACTGCATTCATGAATGGGGATGTATTCATCTACAGCTTTCCTGTACATTTTAGATGTAAAAAGTTGAATGCATTCCTATTTAGCCTTTTTTAACTGCTCTGTGTTTACCTGCATACTTTTCAGACCATTAAGCAAATACTCACGCATTAACTAATTAGTTAATTACGACTTTATTAGGAAAGAAAGACAATTCTCCAGAAACCTGAAAAACTGTGAACACTGAAACAGCAAATCCAAATAAATCAAACCACTTCCACCTGTCTCTCCTCATTAATACACAGGACTGTAGGCATCTTCTCCAGTATTTTTCTTTCTCCCTTTATCTTCAACTCAAATGGATTTGTAGCTTAGGTGGCTGTAACACACTGCATGCTCACACCCTTGGCCTGAAATTCCCAGTAAGGCAGGCAGCTTTGTTTTTTTTTTTTGTTGGGGGGGGGGGGGGGTGAGGAGGGGAAGGGGAAGGGGAGGAGGGCTTTCTATGGGCATCAACTACTAAGCCTTTTAGGACTCTCTGTAAATCTCAGCCTTTAATACCACTAGATTTCAAAGCATGTATATAGATTTATTACTGTAGCTTTCTTTAATCAACCAAAAGTAAAGTACAACAATATGGCATTGCTACTGTGGGGAATGGGATGCTACAAAGAATATGTGTGCTTGACCCTGAAATTAATCTCTGATTTTTTTCCAAATTTTTCAAGATCACCAGAATATGCAGAGAGAGGAAAGAGCTGAGGTGGAGTGGAAGAAGGACTGCTTGTAAAAGGAGACAGGTCCTACTTCAGACATCATTCAGAGCATATTTGGTTTCACACTAGTCAAGTACAGTTTGTCTAATCTGACTTCAAAATCATTGTTTACCCCTTAAAATATCTTGGTTGTATGAGACAAGATATGAGTCTTTAGGAGTCTGGCAGGGCGAAGAGAGAAAAAGAAGGAGGGAGACAGAAAGTCAACAGATCAATAAAAGCACTTTAGGGTAATGGCTCTACCTTGAGCAGACCGGGTCTGGATTCCAGGCCAGCCCAGCACTGCCAGGAAATGTGCATTTGTGTGAATGAAACGCTCAATCCGCAGCATGGCAGCAGAAGGCCGAGGCTCTGTTGTGTCCCCATCCGACACCAAAGTTTGCTTCCTTCCTGCCTGTCCTTGCTCACAGCTGGCGTCCTGTCTGCAGTCACCGAAGGAGGGCCAGGGTGCCCAGTTGAAGTGAAAATTGCAGCTTTCTAGAAAGAAGGAAAGGAATGCAGTAGGACAAACTGGAGTGAGAAGTGGGCACAGAGGAACATGCAATGCTTTGCCTTGCTTTTTTTTTTTCCTTCTTTTCATGCCAGTTACACAGAAACAAGAAAGTGCCTGAGTCAAGTTGGAACTCGTCATCCAGGAGGCAGCACCAATCTAGCGCATCTGGGCACCATCTCCCAAGGGCTTCCCAACTCCATAGCATTTTATTACTGTAAGGGCCCCACCTACTGCTAAAATTTTGCAATGAAGCAAACCACATATTTAAATATCATCTTTTGTTTTATTAGAACGTTCATTAAAGAACTCTCAACCATTCCATCCCATCTTCTAGCTCTCACCCTCATACACACATAAGAAAGCACACGTAAGCCAACTTCACCAAAGATGGACAAGCCAGAAAAAGCCTCCCTGCTTTTTATACCAGTTCAGAGGGTCCAGCTATTATGGTGACCCACAGAACAAGACCTGCTGCACTCAACCCATGCCAGAGACCTTAAAAAAGTCAAGACAGCCTGCTTCCAGATATCCCAAAGCTTTGGGCTGCTCATAATTTGTGCACTTCTGCACACAGGATCTCAACTCCTGGCAAGGTAAGAGAGCCCGGCAGCAAACAGTATGAAGCTCCTGCTGCCCCCACATCACCCTCCCAAAAAGCAAGCAGCAGCTCTGTTTTTCAAGACAGAGGAAGGGGAGCACAACAAAATGAGGAGAAACTGCAACCAGACAAATATCAAAGATTGCTTCTCTTTAATTATCCGTCCTCAGAATCTTTGCCCATCAGCTGGAACTCCCCATTGCTTTTTCTAAAGTAAACAAAACCACACGTTTTTAATGCTGTCCCACCTTACTTCTTTGGTCTGACTAATTAGCAAGGCTGGACATAAATTGTTCATTTGTGACACTGTGAATAGCCTCATCTATTCTGGACAGCACACATCTGTTTTCACACACGCATGCTTACGCAAACACCCTTAGCCTGCTGCAGGGACAGCCAGCATACAATTTCAGCCCCATATTGAGTTCTGGCTGGTGCTGAGGTCCCCGAGGCTGAAGAGAAATAAAGCTCTTAGAGGGGAAACAGCATGTAAACACAGCTCTTACGTTTTCCCGCACGGAAAATGTTTTTTTCAGATGAAGCTGCTGAACAAATCATGTGAGAAAAGGCCTGCTGGCATACAGGTTGGAAGCAAGCTTGCTTGCAACCAGGGAGAGGAGAACATTGCAAAACGCATCTCTTCTATCTCCTCCCTGAGCAAACAGGCCGTGTCCTACCAGCCTGAGCAAGCAGCAAAGTGCAGGTGGTCAGAGGAGTGCATGCTACTGAACCACGCTGCACTCTCAGACCTTTAATCAGTGTTTCAACATGAAAGAAATCTCTCTTCACACGTACCTCATGAACCTGACATTAGATTCTCAAAAAAAAAAAGTCCAAGAATTACTTTCCTTGTGGCTACCATGACTGCTTTAGGTGCTGCTCTCAGTAAATAGGCTATTGATCTCCGACACGTGGGCCTGACTTGTTGCTCACTTAATGTCTAAACTATTTTATTAATATTTTTAAATCAAATTCTATTTTCCACCAACACATGATGACAGACATCAAAGCAGGGGAGCAATGCCTCTTGTCTGTGTAGTATGCACATACCTGATGAACACCAGCAAGGCTCATGTAAAGCAAGGGCCTCAGCTCCCTGGCAGAGGATCCTGAACCCCTTCTCCAAGCACTGGGGATTTACCCAAAGCAAACCTGGAGCCCATCCCCGCCCTGGGCTGCTCTGACATAAAGTCCACAAACTCGAAGGGGTTTCCGTAGGCAAGGACAAAAATACACCCTGCACATATGGGAGGATGTTCAGACATGCAATTCACACACCATCATCCATCAACACAAAAGGAGAATTTCTCAAGAGCTCCGATAGCACAAACGTTCTGGGGGCTTTATGGGGTTTTGTCTTTGGATTTTAAGGCGATTTTTCCCTTCATTCCTGGTGGGAAAGCTTATGCCTTTATTTCTATAACTATAAACCAAATAATAGATTAGGGTTTTTTGTTGTTGTTGTTTTTTCTTTTTTTTTTTTTCTATCAGGCATAGCAATGGTACTGAACATATCAATGGCACTGAACATATGCAAAGTTTCCACTAAAGGTTTTTGTAACTTAATTTTCCTCTGGAGACTAGAAGCAGCCAGATATTCTGCCTCTCGCTGGAAGTTGGCCGGTAGCCACCCCGTGCTCCTCTCCCTGTCATCCCCCCAGCCCCCAGCCCCAGCACTGTTAATCAGATGGCTGTATCTTCCCTATATTTCTCCTGTCAAGCTATTAGGGGGATACAGAAGAGAGAAAGAAGAGAATCAGCTGAGATATAAACCAGCCCATCTCCCTGAGTGCCTCTCCTTCTTTTCAAGGTTGAGCTGTCTGTATTGCTGCACACCCTCCTGTCACGGCTAAGGAGAAACTTGCTTTCCCTTGCAGAGAGAAAACAGATGACATTTATTTCCCAAACTGAGAGGGACAGAAAGAAATTTGTCTTTGTGGAAGCATCACTAACCTTTAAAAACAGAAAACTGTGGCATGGAAAGGGAGAAAATCCCTGTCTGTGGGGTACGCCTGGCTAGGCCCAGTGCTGAGCAGGATGGCAGCCTCACAGGGAGCTCCTGGTGAGTGCCTGGTGGTGAGCAGGGGCA